CATTTATGATTATGGACGAATACGAAGTAACGTTCGTCAGGTTAAGTATTGTTGTCTGCTCTCCTCTCCATGGCCCAAATTACCAGGGAAGTAGTGTTGTTAATAGCCACTCATTGTTTTGGGATGTTCTTTCTTAGATCGAGGCGTGCCGTGTGATTGTTGACGACCGGGGAAAAACCACAGGTGATGGCATCGTGATATTTGCTGACAAGAAAGGTGCCACACTTGCCATCAAGAAGTGTCAGGAGGAGTGCTTTTTCCTCACCAGGTATAGTTTGTCTTCGTGCCGTCATCTCTACTGTATTTACCAGGGGCATATCCAAGCATGCTGGAGTGACTTCTCATTTCGATAAGAAATTGGTGGTGTGTGAAGAGCTTGAGGTAAAGCTGTACATAATTTGGGGTGGGGCGAGTTGGTGTAAACGGGGTGTTTTATTGATAATATTTTGAAGGTGGGGGTCAGAGGTAGTTCGTTCAGTAATCTTTACTAACAAAGCAGTATTGTTGTTCGTAATTGTTGCTTTGTTAAAGGTGAAGATTAAATATGGTAGACGGTTTGGTTTTAATGGCTGGGGCGATGTTGGGTGGTTTGTCATTATAAAGAGTTCTTCTATATAGTATATTTCTTTAAGCTAATGTATTTAATTTTTTATTGCTTTTTTTTAATTTAATTTTGTTTTAGAAAATAAGCCTTTAGTTGTAATTGGGAAAGAGGTATTGTATACTTTAATAAATGTACATTTATGCATATAACTTAAGGAAATTTGTGATGGGTGCATAGTTTTGTTGAGTTGTAAGTACAGTGTTTATACAAACATGCATTGTGAAACATAGGGTATGTATATGTATAAATGGGCATACTGATCCACTGTGGAATTAAATCTTCCCATTATCTTTTGTCATCGCTCATTTGTGTAGATCCTAGGGTTACTGTGTATCCGCAGTAGGGATGCACTCTTGAGTTAATCAGAATTCTGGTAAAGATTATAAGTAGATAACCAGCATACTGGAGTTGGCCCTTTAGCTACCCAACAAGCACTGCTGCTAAATTTGCAATTTATACCTGTCAGTCATGTGAGATTAACTCTTTCACCATTAGAATTTTTTTATTTTCTACTTGGATGTTCTGATTTCTGGGGTCTTAGTTTTCCTTCCAACTGGTCCTTAACAGGTATCTATCAAATTTCTAATAAGGAATTCCTGGTAGTTATTACATAAATTGTAAGGCAACCTTATGGTGATGTCATGCTGATTCTTTTAGTACATTATGCATTCCCTAAAGAAGTACCACTCAAAGAGTATAGGCAAGAAATATATAGGTTAGTGTTGCATAGGTTCAAGACTTCGGGTAGTGCAGTGAACACTCATTGTTTGGTCATGTAGTCCCATGCTGGCAAGTTTCAAGTTTAACAAATTTTGGGTTTAGATAGATTCCTTATTTTGAAACAAATAGTAGTACATACCTGAATTCTGATGCCAGGTTATGATCACTGTAGCCTCAGTTGTAATAGACCCTCTTTGTCTAGACATTGTTTTAATATGGTTTATTCAAAATGGGACACTTCATAATTTTTGGTTCCAAATGTAAATAAATTTGAAGGCATACCCAAGCAGTTCATTGTTTGTTCCCTGGTGCTTGCCACTGTAACTTCCACCACTACCACCATCCCACCTGTCCTACAAAGAACGTCGTTTTTTGCTCGTATGCGTTGCATAAGGCCAAAAATTGTTGCACTGTACTAGAAAATGGAAGTGGCTCGTGAAAGTGACATACTGTCCCGTTTTCTGTTTTAGGTCCTCTGGCTTCGTCTGGTAGATTAGGAGAGGTCACTTTAAATTAACTGCATTCTTGACGTTGTGAAACTTAAGGAGGGTGGGCTGCACCATCACTACTGGTAAGAGAAGGGGGAAGTGGTAGCGATTGGCTATCAATTGGCAATTGATAGGCAATTCGCTTGCTCCGATGCTAGCGAATTGGAGCAAGTAAGCGACACGAGGAATGAAAACAAAAGGCCATGTCAGGCCTCTGCCACAAAGATTGCCTTTGGGCAGCGGGAGATACTAGTATGGGGCCATAGATGATCGTTGATCTTCCTGCTTATCACAGCTTTTAATTTGATCTGATTCTTGGTCCAAACAGGAATTGTAATGAGAATTGTCAATTGATAATGTATTGGGATAACAGACAATTGGAGGATTTATTTGTTATTATAGTGCTAGTTTAGGTGATGTTATGTGGTAACAGTAAGACTGCAGCAGTTAGTGATATTGGGTACAGCACTTCAGTTTATTGATGGCAATCCTGTGCAACCTGAGTTGTTGACAAGTTATGGCTGGTCTGTAGTTAAACATTCTAGTCCTAGATTGCTCTGGAAATTGTTGCATTGTTAGAAAAAGTGCCACTACAATCACTGGCACCATGCAAAATTGCCAAACAAAAATTCAGGGGCTGAAAGAAATGGCAAAAGAAACATACTAATGGATTGATATCCATTAGAAAATGATGTAAGCAACTTAAATGTAATGTAAGAAAAGCATGATCATTTTGGTTACTGATAGGTAACTGAGCCAGCTGAAGCATATTTGGCATTGCAAAACTTTTGGTGGTGGTGGTGATTAATGTACTTACATTCGTGAAAAATATTTTTGTCAAGTGAAGCTAATTTAATGTCATAAACTACCAACTCTGCAGTGAATAGTTACAGATCTTAACACTTTCGTGCACGTAGGAACGGCTATACGTCAGTTATTTTCCCCACGTTTGCTAGCCAGGGATGCATGTCACGTCCCTAATTAAAAAAATTTAAAATTCTAATTTTTATCCGATCAATCTGGGACTAGTTTCAAAATGAGCGCCATTGGCTTCCCATTTTCGTCCATATGTCACATGGCATCCTGGGTCGGTGTCCCATGCGATGGGCCTATTGTTTGTGACCACGCTTGTGACCTCTACGCCCTCCTCCTGCGTCCAAAACTTGTGAACGTTCCGGCTATTATCCTCGGTTATATTTATTCCAGCACCTTTAACCACACTATATACACTATAAGATGGATCGTGATCAAGAACAGAGCAGTTCCAAGTTGAAAGGAGCCAAAGAATCGGCCAGGAATGATAAGTAGGGTTCACCAAAAGTACAGCCAAGTAAAGTAAGGCTCGCACCAACAAAGTTCCAGGCCATAGTGGAAGAATTCAGATATTGAGACTGAAGAAACAGATAGATGTAGATAGTGAAATCTTTGATATGGAGACAGCAGGTGAGGATGAATTGGAGATTGAGAAATCTAATGATACCAAAACGTGCATGGCATGTGCGTGCATTAGAAATGTTGTTCTTCAATTTGGCCTTATATTCATATATATCCCTTTAGAGCATTTTATTGCTAACAATTTGATACCAAAATGAACGATGGTAACATGAAAATTTATGGTATCGAACAGAAAAGTTATAGACTTTTCTATTTGGGTTTTATGGGTGTGCCAAAGGGTATACTCTAACGGGTAACACTTCAGTGACTTCCCACGCTTTTTGCAGGTTGGGTGCGCTTTTTTTTTTTTTTTTTTTTTTACATTAGATGCATGTGTCCGGGTAGGGGAATTTATTGCGAACACGTTGATACCAAAATGAACGCTGTAGCACGAGAAAGGAGGTGAAAAAACTGAAAAGACTATACACGTTTTATCATTGTTTCGCACTCGGCTAACAATTGCCAGATTTTTTTGCTCGGTGCGGGTGTCATGCAGGGCTTTTGGACATTATATGCATATATCTCTTTAGAGCATTCTATTGCGAACAACTTTGATACTAAAATGAACGACGTAACACGAAAATTGATGGTAAACCTGAAAAGATTATACACATTTCTGTAGGTGTGTTGCGGGTGTGCCAATATAGGAATGCTAACAGGTAACGCTTTGGCGATTCCCACGTTGTTGCGGGTGGGGCGTGCCATTTTTCTTTTACTTTATATGCAAATGTCTGTATAGGGAAATTTATTGCGAACACATTGATACCAAAAAGGAACGCTGTAGCACGAGAATTGAGGTGGAAAAACTGAAAAGACTAAACACATTTTATCGCTGTTTCTCACTCGCTGCATTTTTGTGCTTAGTCTGGGTGTCACACAGGGCTTTGGGACATAATATGCATATATCTCTTTAAAGCATTCTATTGCGAACAATTTGGTACCGAAATGAAATACGTACAATGAAAATCGAGATGAGAAAACCGAAGAGTACAGTACACACATTTCAGTGTCGCCGCACGCTCGCCCGAAAGGCTAGGAGCATGAGGGGGAAGTTTGGCGGGCTCACGCCTGAGGTGCGAAAGTGTTAAATGATTATTAGTTTTCACATTCGGCATGCCACCATCTGCTCAATGACCTTTTTGGTGGTTGTAGACAGCTCTAGGGAGTGCAAGAGCATTAATTGCACACAACCCCTTCAAAGCACCACTTTCTTCCTGGCCTAAAACCCTTCCACTTTTCTCCTTTTATGAGTGCTAGCCCTCTGTAATTATTAAAATTGTTTCTTTACATTTTATTTACTTTGTCTTATATGTTATTCCCATTTACCCTCTACCTTCGCTAGTTTAGAATTACAGCAGAAATTGTTTACCATAAAAAGTAATTTGCTTCACTGCATATTGGGCTGGATGTGGTGACAACCCAGCCGTCCTGAAGCATCTTTGTGATTTGTCTCCTGCAAGTCCTTGTGCGCGCACACATCCTCCCTTGATTGCTCACTTATGAGCCCTTATCAAAGTTTATTCACTTCTGCCCTCAAAGCTCACAAGTCTCGGAAACACACATCTGTTGTAATAGGAGAGGTGAGGAGACAGATTTATAAGGATGAATATTGAGGCTGTATGAGAGAATTGAACTTGTGCCTCTGATTACCTCTTAGTATGCTCAATATTGACAGGCCATGATTTTATTGCAGCCTCAATATTCAGTTTCATCACATGGTTGTCATGTAGGTTTGTCAGATTCATAAATGCCACGGTAACCCCAATGCTGGAAGTATTACTTTGTCTTTCACTAAGTGCACCGTGAATAGGAAATTCTACCTCCATACGCTGAAGCAATTCGTGGTCACACAACTGGAGAAAATGTAAATGTTTTTTGTTCAGCCACTTGCTAAATCAAATACTCCCAGGACAATGAATTGGCTGTGATGGGGTTTGCCAAACTTGACTCGACAGTGTTGTTGGGGTTGCCATAAGACATCATGTATACCTTTAGGAGATAGTGTCTAACATTGGAACAGGGTCATGGATGCCATCTCATTTGACTCCTTTCAAGTGTAGAAGCAAACAAACTAAAATTGAATATTTCCTATCAGGATTTGGGATCATTAAATGTACTTTGATGGCTACTTACATGCTTAGAAATTACTTTGAGCTGGGCTTGCTTGTATCTCAGTGTAGTTACTGTGTGGTTTTTATAATTGTAGTTAAAGATAGGTACTCAAATATGGTACTGTATTTGAAATCTGCCTCGTATTGCTCACACCCTTATTAGCTGGGTTTCACACTTCGTTAGTTTTCAAATATTCGGACAACCATTAATTTTTTCTCATTGATCCCTTTAAATAATCATAAGATTGTTAATGTATCGGAGCTTATGTTTTCTTCGTGTTTATTGAGGTCTTGAGTACATTTGAGTATGGTGTTTCTACGTGTGATGCTGCCAATACTGTACCAGCTTAAACCCTAAGGAAAATATTGGTTATGATTATTGTAACCATCTGATATTTTGGATCAGATGCAACACTGACATGTTAGTGGTACCTGTACCTGTTAGTGGTACCTGTAACTATATAGTATCTAATGGCATAGATACAATATTTAGGTTTCTTAATTCTTAGACTACTATTGGTGATCATTGTACAGTATATTTCCTGGGGCTGTTTTTGCATTTCTGCTGCTTTGTTTTGGATAGTTATCATCCATAAAGGCATTTTATTCACAAGATTTGAAGAAAATACTTTTTTAATGGGATATTATGCTTTTCGACATCCTAAAAAATGTGTGATATAATTTTAAAAAATGTTTGCAGTGTGAAGGTTAAATAATTGTTGGTGATCTCTTGTGAAGCATTTGGTAATGAGGAGACTTTATTCTGCAGTGGATTGGTAATGGCCTGATACACTATACATGTTCATAGTTGCATATTGCTGTTGGCACCCATATGGTCAATAGTACATTTGTACCTAACATTTATGAACGGCAAGTTGGTGTTTACTTTAATACTCATAATTTATAGCTTCATGGGGTATAAATGTAATTCAAGGTACAAACATTTTATTTGTAAACTGTCCATGGATACCTAGTAAATTTTTTAAGTTTGATTTGGGGTAGTTCTAATTTTCAGCGCAAGTTGTAGGTTCATAGAGTATGCAGAGAAGACGTGTGAACCATCTTGTGGGTGTCTTGCGAATGATAACTAAAAACCATATGTTCTACAGATACACCACTTTTAAATAGGTGATGTTTTCAACCTAAGTTTCATGTACAAAAGTTGGTTTTTACCTTTTGATAATTTTGGGTCACTGATATATAAGATGTATGTGGTGTTATGCTAATTAGGGCGTTGAATATAGTGGGTATAATTTTCACGCTTTTAAATTATTTTTATTGGTTCACATAATTCGTAAATTACTTAGGAATTGGTTTGCATAATTCGTTAATAACTTAGGGATCGGTTTGTACAATTCGTAAATAAAACCACCTGGAATATCACATATTCCTAATACTGCGTCATCAGTTATTTATACAGTTACAGGCAAGTGTACATTAATCATTGTCGTTTGCTTGCACCCAAATGTGTGCAGCTGAAAAAATTCTTGTTACAAACGATGTCAAGGTTTGGCCCTTCGTGCTAAGATGAATTTATTAAAATGTTGCTAATTTTTGTCACTTTTTGGTCACCTATCCTCTTAGTGTTTTTGAAAATAGGGATTGTGTTATTTCAATATTATTTTCAGTGCTCTGCGTCCTGTAATTGTCGAGCCCCTTGAGGCTCGGGATGAGGAAGAAGGCCAACCTGAGAGTTCCATGCATAAGAATGAGCAGTACAAGCAGGAACGCAAGGAGGGCCCCAGGTGATTATCATTAAATTGCAGGATAGATATTTTTCTTAATCTCCTTCTCATTTCCTCCTCTTCAAATACTGTACCTTGTCATGGATGAATTACATAACACTGGGTAAATATTGAGGCCATCGATGGGATCGAACCCGCATTCCTAGACTTGCCAACATACACTCAAATTTATTCACATACATCACATTCTTTTGATTCTTTCATAGCATTTTGTCTGTTATTATTAGTAACGAATAATTTTTTACATGTCGTTCCCTTTGTTATTGTAATCCCATTTCTCACTTATTGGCTGGTTAAAGTTAAACCCTGCCCACCACCACCACACCTGCAGTGCCCCATCATCATCACAATGGCTCTATACCACTGTTGCCCAAAACCACAATCTACATAATCATTACCACTACCATATACTGTACTTAAAACTATATTTGCAAGACTTGTGCAATTATAATTGTACACAATATTGACCAGACCACACACTAGAAGTTGAAGGGACGACGACGTTTCGGTCCGTCCTGGACCATTCTCAAGTCGATTCTCACAATCGACTTGAGGATGGAATGAGAATGGTCCAGGACGGACCGAAACGTCGTCGTCCCTTCAACCTCTAGTGTGTGGTCTGGTCAACATACTTCAGCCACGTTATTGTGACTCATCGCCTGCATTGTGCACAATAGTTATAATCTATGCACATTCAATAATTGCACCATCTTTTCTTTTTCTAACCCTTGCCACCCGCCTGCATGAATACTCTCAAAGTTGCCCTCATTGCAATAGGCAGTTTTTTAAAAGCTTTACTTTTATTTACTCTTATTAGGAAATTTAAGTTTTGTTAACCCTTAAAAGGCACATCATATCAATTGACATTTTTAACACGTCGTTGGCAAGAATTGGGTTGTTCTTGTTGCTAATATTTTTAATTAATATGGCTGTTTTTAACTGATAAAAGATAAAACTGAATATACTGTACATGTATATTAGAAAACATTTTCAATATGTGCCATCTTATCCAAAAAATATTTTAGCAAAGTAAATTAAATAATTTTTTGTATTCTTCAGTCATCTATATTGATGTATTATTTTCCTTAACTTTTGTAAGACAATAAACATAAGGGTAGCTTTATCCTAATTTGAGAGAGATAAGATTTTAATTTAAGATGAAATTCTATAAACCTAAGAATGTGCATAGAATTTTTTAACTTTTTTTCCCATATACTGTAGTGTAATCCATATTTTGAATTTGGAAAGCAGCATCTCATAAAAAGTAACTTTAGTAACTTATGCACTGTATTCTAAAGGTTAAATATCGTTTCAACAGATTTGCTGATCGAAACTCCTTCGAATATGAATATGGAATTCGTTGGAAGCGTCTGTATGAAATGTACAAGGAAAAGAAATTGTTGCTAGAGTCTGACCTGCAAGCAGAGATGGAACAGCTGGAAAGACGACTGGCTATTGTGAAGCACGAGCATGAGACGGAGAAGTTGAGAAGAGGTAAGACTGTAATGTGATACTTTATTGGCTGTGGAATATTGCTTTTTCCCGACTGTAATTGCATGCAGTCATGCATTGGCAAATGGCTCAACAAAAGCAGTGTGAATCCAGCAACCAAGAGATCAATGTGTACAGTGCCTGGGTGCACTAGTCAAGTAATAGTCCTGTGGGGATGGTGCACCACTCAGATGGGGTGGTACACTGGGTCCTGTTTCACGTTGGTCTTGAATGTCTCTTCGAGGTAACATGGGCATTAACCCTTGGACAGCAGCTATAGAAAGTCATTCCTGCCTGTTTTCTATAAATTTATTAAAGGCAAGTTGCACGTAAATGATAAAATCCTGAGATTGAGAATGGGGAACATATTCACAGAGAATGAGAAAAATGTGTGAAACACGATGAACAGTTCCAAAGTGTTTGTGGGAACATCTTGTGCGAAGGTTCCAACCCTCATCAAGGCTCTTGTGGATTTGTTCTTGTGTAAAATGAGGTTTCCAGAAATCCAGATACAATTCCAGAGAATACCATATAAAACAGAGGTATTCTTGAATACTTCTTATGTATTCTATAGAATGCACATACACACACCCTCTTGTAAAGTGTGCTTATTTTGGGGGGGGGGGGCTCACGGCTAAGTGGACAGCGTACTGGGGTCGTAGTCCTAAGGGCCCAAGTTTGATTCCCAGTTAAGGCAGAAACAAATGTGCTGTTTCTTTCACCGTGATGTCCCTGTTCACCTAGCAGAAAATAGGTACCCGAGTTAGATGGCTGCTATCTGCTGCTTCCTGGGGATGTGTGTGTGTAAGGCAGTTCTGCAGGCACAAATAATAATATACACATGAACATGGAAAGTACACTGGAGAGAACACAAATTCTGTGTGTGTGTTTGAGGCCATGGGTCCCCATCTTTCAGGCAGAGGTGGTAACCCCCCTATTTAATATGGAAAAATATTTGTATAAATACTGAAGTATTTATACAAATATACAGTATAAATACTGTATATATAATATAAAGTATAAATACTGTAGTATTTATACCACCTCCGGTTGTGTTTGTGGTGTTGTATGTCACCATACAACACAGCCAGAGACAACCAGAGGTGGTATCTCCTATATTATGTATATATTGAATGTTTGAAAAGTAATAACTTGAATAAGAGAGAGGTAACCACCTCTGGTTACCACCTCTGCCTGAAAGATGGGGACCCATGGCCTCAAACACACACACAGAATTTGTGTTCTCTCCAGTGTACTTTCCATGTTCATGTGTATATTATTATTTGTGCCTGCAGAACTGCCTTACACACACACATTCCCAGGAAGCAGCAGATAGCAGCCATCTAACTCGGGTACCTATTTTCTGCTAGGTGAACAGGGACATCACGGTGAAAGAAACAGCACATTTGTTTCTGCCTTAACTAATGAATTACACGAAGATTGATGTACTGAGTAATATAGAATGGTTTGTTTAGTAATGTCCAACAGTTGTATATGCTGTGTATTAAATTAGTGGGAATGTATATACCAAATATTAACATGGTAATAACTTTGCAGAGTTGATGGCACGTGAACAAGAGGCAATGCAGCTCGGGAGATCGCTGTACGGGCGCCAGGGAGGCTATGGAATGGTATTGTCTTAATTTTGTTGTTCCTTATCTTAAGAATAAATAATTAAAATATTAAATGCTAGTACCTTTTCATATTCATGTGTGCATAATTAAACTTTCATGAATAAATATTGAGGCTGCAAACCAACCCATTTGTTGTACAGATTCTATATTCATAGACTTCATGTTGCTGTGATTCTCATTGTGAATAACTTGGCATTCAAGTGTGTGCCTTCCATATTTATTTTTCTCTCCATATTTGCATTTAATTGTCTTATTGTAATGTCATTCCTCATTGCCAAAACAAAATTTTAACTTTAAATGCCGTAATTATATTTTGAGTGGGGTCCTTGAGTAGTACTGTGAGCAAAACTGTCGTTAAGCCAGGCCTTTGGGAGATGATGCACCGAGTCATGTTACCTAGAGCTAGGGTAACTAGGCTAAGGGGGAGTGAATATCACATATCCTGGAACTTGATTGATCATTTTGTACACGAATAATGGGAATGCTCTTGTAATTAGAATGATTATTATTATTTGGATCTTGTTATTTTTTTGCGTTATGAGAATGAAATGCACATCTGGTGTATTCAGGTCAATTTTTATAAGTTATAATCAAAGAGTGTCAATTTAATTTGTAATTATTTTTTGACAGGATCGTTATCAGGGATCACAGGATGAACGCTATGGAGAACGCTACGATGCTTCACGGGATGAACGATATCAGCAAGCCATGCAGGAAGAACGTTATCAGAGAATGCAAGAGGAACGGTATCAGCAAGCCTTACAGGAGGAGCGGTATCAAGCTATGCGCAATGCTGGCTATCAACAAGGTGGTAACGCACAAGAGGAACAGTTCCAGCAACAGGGAACTAAGAGAGAGGCTCCAGCAGCATCGGCACAAGTAGCTGCCGGAGGGCCAGCGGCAGCAGCAGGACCCGGGGCAACATCTGACGAATCTGAAATGAAGCGAGGGAGATACTGAGTTAACATCTTTGACAGTTTTTTGTTTTTTTTTAAACCTTGCTGATCATATGTGTCAATGATGTTCTTACATTTATAAACTGCTTTAGAGAATAAGCATGTAATTGTAGTGACATTGTGATTACTTCTGGGAACCAATAAATGAGGTGGTAATGTTTCTCTTTATTTTTATTGCACTTGCTATTTATTGAAGGGCTTGTGTACAACAATGATAAACATTGTCATGATTTCATAAAAATAATTTCAACAGTTAAAGATTCAAAGGTGAAACAATTGAGCAAAACTGGAAGTGCTTAGAATTTTAAGTATTATCCATTGCATAGAACAAGTGCATTTTGGCCAGATTTTTTCAGATCTGTGTTTTCAGAGAAATGCCACTGAGGAATCAGAATAATAGTGTCACCTGCATGCAATATTGCCATGTAAGTTCATATATTTTTAATTTTTTAAATTTTATATTTTTTACATAATTGTAAATTGCTAAATAGTTCAATTTTGATTTATTTTCTCAACTTGAACATGTACTCTTACTTAGCGTTCATGAAATTGCAGATGATTACCAAATGACCGTTGAATGCTAAGCTGCAACAAAGTCTTGTTTATATATTAAGTATTGCTTAAACAATTACCATTACATGTTGAAGGCTGTTATGTCAGTGTGTTTAGTTTGGTAACATTGATGCTTGAACACTCCATTACCCAGAAATGGATAGCAAGAAAGTATTTTTTGCTAGTTTTTAGGGGATGTAACACTCCAATATTACTAACTTGGCAGAAAATATTGGTGTCTCGAGTGAGGACGATTGATATAATGCATAATTGAGCAATTATGTTCTTTTGTTGAACACATTGAACATAAACAGGCACACACGTGAGCTTGATGAATTATTGAATGGCTCAGTGCATGTTATATTGTATTAAGTTAAAATTATTTGTGGTAGTCTTTGAGGATAGCTAATGTTGACATTTATCTCAGGATGGGAGAAATATAAGATTGCAGTACATGTATTAGAAAGGGATTTTTGTCATATAATAATTGAAGAAACTAAGGTAGAGGTTAACTTTAGGTAATAACCCGGGGCACATGTCTAAGTTGCATAGTACCTTGTCCAGTACAAACCTTTGTACGTTCTTTTGTAAAATTCCATAGGACAAAATGCCATGTAGTAGTGTATATATATATGCATATATACATACATGCATATATATATGCATACTTGACAAAATGATTTTTTTTATGAATCTCTTGAATTGGCAGTACATCTAGCAACAACTATGGTGTTCCACATATTGCTAAATAAATATCATTTTTTTTGTCTGCATTTCCATTTCCCAATGTATGTACTGTACAACACTTGCCTAGGTCTACAAGCAGGGTGGAGCATCTGACATTAAGGCCTAGCTTAAGCCTACACTAACTTTTTTCTCTCTCCTCTTTAAGTATATTTATATTTTTAAGCTGTGTAGGGAATTTTTGACAGCTTCTTCGTTCAGTTCGTTGCACTTATTTACGACCGACTTAAATGTGCTTCCAGTATCCAATTATGTCCTCTTCCACTGTTCTTTAATTTGAACATTGCCTCTTACCTAATTTTTCCATCCTCACAAGTATGTTGTACGTCTTTGGAGCTCAACCCGTCCTCAGACCAAGTCCATCCAGCAGTAGACACCAAAGACCCATTCATTAATGTTAACATGTCGTTCATTCAAAATACAAATTTTCTCGACTAAATATTTTTATATATTAGCATATTTAGGTACTGGTCAGGGTAGGTGTTTAGATTCTGTTGGCGATTGTGTTTGTAGTACGTGGGTGAAGCATTTACAGCGATGTGGTTGGAACAAAATTCGTCAAATAAGCACTTGTTCCGGAAGTTTTCGAACGTCGTACGTTCTCCTGTAAGCAGTTTTTTAGTCCATGAGTTCAAAGCTGACGCACTCAAGCCCCAACCCGTCCTCGACTCGAGTCCATTACATTCAGCGGTCGACCCCACAGACACATTCATAAATTTTAACATGCTGTTCATTCAAAACGGGAATTTTCGCAGGTATAAATTAATATTATAATATATTGGCATATTGTGTATATATAGGCATAGGTTAGGTTAGGTTAGGTGTTTAGGTTCTGTTGGCGATTATTTGTATTTGTAGTACGTGGGTGAAGCATTTACAGTGTTGATTCGAACAAAATTCGTCAGTGAAGCACTTATTCCGGATATGTTCGAACGTCAGCAGTTGAGTCGTGTAAAGCGCTTTTCATTCATAAGCAGGGGGTTTGGCGGGTGCATGGAATCACTTTTGGATCTTTGGAGGACGGGCTGCAAGCCCAAAAGTTCAACAGACCATCCCGCTCCGCTGCAAGACGCTTCATAAGCGAACAAAGAACCGTTTGCACTCCACTTTACACTAGTCCAGCAGACGAAATTGATTTGGAGGAAGGAGGTAATAAAAGTATGTGTTTGTGGGAGAAAAGAATTGGCAAAATGATCAGGGAAAGAGAAGGGCCTCAAAATAACAATTCACTTAGGGTATATTTCACTAACAGTAGAAGTCTAAGAAATAAAATTAACGAATTAAATGCTCTTGTCTGCACAGATAAAATAGATATTATTGCACTCACCGAAAAGTGGATGAATGTAGAAAATAGAGAACTATTAGCTGAATATCAAATTGGATTTAAACTGTTTCACACATATATTAGACGAGGAGGGGGAGTAGCCATATATGTTAGGGACAATTTGAAATGTAGTCTCAAAGAGGGAATCAAAACTGAGCCCCACACAAACTATTTGGCAAGAATTAAACGAAAGATCAAATAATATTATAATAGGAGTTATATATAGGCCACCAAATTTAGACAGAATGGGAGCAAAGCATCTATGGGATGAAATATCTAGAGCATCTAGATCTAACAGTATTTATGTCATGGGTGACTTTAATTTTAGTGGAATAAACTGGGTGAACAAAACAGGGAATAGTGAAGCAGAAGGTTTTCTAGAATTAATTGACGATTGCTTTCTTAAGCAACAACAGGTTTTAATGACATGGAAACGGAGTGAGTTAGGGAACAGTGATCACAAATACAATACAATACAATACAATACAATTTTATTTAGGTAAGGTACATACATACAATAAATTTTTACAAGGATTGGTTGACTTATAGGTAGAGCTAGTACATACAATGCCTAAAGCCACTATTACGCAAAGCGTTTCGGGCATGATAAACTTAAATGACAAGCTTAATACTAATTGAGCATAATGAGTAGAATGAAAACATAGATGAAAAAGCAGCACAAATACAATTATGTCGACAAACAGCGCTCTTTAAAGAAAAACAGACATTGGTTGACAATAGAAGGGTAAGGAAGGTTACAGGGAATTTATTAGGTATAGCTTCGTTTTTAACTTAAACTGGTTGAGAGAGGTACAGTCTTTAACATGGTTGGGAAGGTCATTCCACATTCTGGGCCCCTTGATTTGTAGAGCATTTCTAGTTTGATTAAGTCGTACTCTAGGAATATCAAAACTGTATTTATTTCTGGTGTGGTGCTCATGGGTTCTGTTACACCCTTCTATGAAGCTTTTGAGATTAGGATTGGCATTATAGTTTAGCGTTTTATATATGTATAATACACATGAGAGAATGTGCAGTGACTTATTGTCTAACATATTCAGAGATTTGAGTAGAGGTACCGAGTGATGTCTGGGGCCAGAATTGGATATTGTCCTAATAGCAGCTTTGTGTTGAGTAATTAGAGGACGTAAGTGATTTTGGGTAGTAGAGCCTCAAGCACAAATACCATAGTTGAGATATGGATAGATGAGGGAGTAATAGAGAGTCACCAGGGCAGGGCGTGGTACATAATATCTGATCTTAGAAAGAATGCCCACAGTTTTTGAAACTTTTTTTGATATGTTTAGAATGTGTCCCTGGAAATTCAGCTTGTGGTCAATGAGAATGCCAAGGAATTTGCCATCTAATTTGTTACAAATTTGGGTATTGTTTATTTTGAGATTTATTTGATTAGAGGATTTTTTGCCAAACAGAATATAGAAAGCTTTGTCAATGTTAAGGGTGAGTTTGTTAGCAGTTAGCCACAGATGGACTTTATTTAGCTCAGTATTTACTGTGGCATTTAGAGCAAGGGGATCAGGACTGGAGTAAATGAAGGTTGTGTCGTCAGCAAATAGAATTGGTTTGAGGTGTTGGGAGGCATTTGGAAGGTCATTAATGTAGATGAGAAAGAGGAGAGGGCCAAGTATGCTGCCCTGAGGAACACCAATGTTGATGGGTAGGGTGGGAGAAATTGTATTATTCACAGAAACATATTGGAGCCTGTCAGTAAGGTAGGATTTGAGGTATTGTAGGGAGTGTCCTCTGACTCCATAATGATGTAATTTAAGAAGAAGGTTTTGGTGGTTGACAGTATCAAAAGCTTTACGCAGGTCCACAAACAACCCAACAGGGAACTCATTTTTATCAAGAGCTGTATGAATCGAGTTAAGCATACTAATAAGTGCATCGTTAGTGCTTTTTTTGGGTCTGAAGCCATATTGGCAAGGGCTAAGTATATTGAGTTTGGCTAGATATGAGTAAAGCTGCTTATAGATTAGTTTTTCAAATTTTTTTGACAAGTTTGGCAGGATAGATATAGGTCTGTAGTTGTTAACATCTGTGAGATCACCACATTTGTGGACAGGCGTTACTCTCGCTTTTTTTAGAATATCTGGGAAGGTTTGGAGTTCAAGTGACTTGTTGAAGAGCAAAGCAATAGCAGGGGCTAAAGATCTGGAGGCTTTTTTGTAAATTAAAGTTGGTATCTCCTCAAGGGCACCAGACTTGGTTTTAAGGGAAAGGATTATCTCATTGACGTCAGTGGAATTAATAGGCTTTAGGTACAGAGACTGTGGATAGTTACCTGTAAGATAGTCCTTAATGTCAGTACTGGAAGATGGAATATCATTTGCAAGGGATGAACCAATGGAAGAGAAGAACCTATTGAACTCAATAGCAGAATCAGAGGCTGAAAGCTGACCATCGTTATTAGACAGGAGAGTCGGTTTGTTATTTAAAGACTTCTTTGATCCCAATATTTGTGAAATTGTTCTCCAAGTTTGTTTAATGTTGCTCTTTATTTGGGTAAATTTATCTTCGTAGTATTTAGTTTTGGCTTGTCTAACTATCTTAGACAGCAATAATGAGTAATTCTTTGAGAATTCTTTGGAGACAATTCCTAACCTATACTTCTTCTCAAGGTCATGTTTTTTATTAATAGATTTAAGTGTTCCCTTTGTAAGCCAGGGATTGTTAAGCCTTTTGGTTGTGACTTGTTTTGTAAGCATAGGACAGTGGGTATTATAAAGGCTAAGAGTTTTTTGAAGAAAAGATTGCACTGCTAGGTTGATGTCCACTATGTTACCTAACTCGGACTCCCAGTTGACATTATCAGCAGCAGTTATAAAATTGTCTATAGCAGTTTCATTGTGTAGTCTAAAACGTATCACTCTTGACTCAAGAGGTGGTTTGCTAATGTTAGTTAAGAGAAATGTGGGGTAATGGTCTGTAGTGCTATCGGTGATTATACCTGAAGTAAGCGGAGAGGTTATGTTTGTCCAGATGTGATCTAGCGTCGTGGCAGTGCTATCAGTGATTCTAGTAGGTCTAGTGATTAAGGGTATGAGGAAGCAGGAATTCATACAGTTGAGGAAGCTAACAGCAGTAGGGTGTTCAGGCTCGCAGAGGTCAATATTAAAGTCCCCTGCGATAATTAGGTGGTTTTTGTTCAGTCTGTTATCAAGTATTAGATTTCTAAGGTTTGAGTTGAATTCGGACACATCAGTGTTAGGAATTCTATAAACTGCACCGACAGTCAGGACAGACTCGGCACCCTGGACTCTGAAGCTGGCGAAGATATACTCCCCATAGCAGTCTCTGGTTCTAATTTCTTTTAAGCATGTTAGTTCTTGGTGGTAGTAAAGAGCAGTGCCACCACCTCTCTGAAGTTGACGACAGTTGTGAATTGCTGAGTAGTTAGGCATGTTAAAGAGGTGAGTAGTATCCTCTTTCAACCATGTTTCAGTAAGTATAATAAAAGAGAATTTGTTGTCAATAGCTTCAATCAAGGCACTAACATCATCGAAGTGTTTACCTAGGGATCTAACGTTCAAATTGATTACAGAGATATTGTGATTATGAGTTAATACATTGTTTACATCATGTGCTGCAAAATATCTGCAATTTAGATCATTAAAGTGATAATTGTCATAGATAGTGGATAAGAGCTACTAAACAAATCAGATTTACAGAGCTA